TGGTGCTGGCATTTGCGAGCGGAACAGTAATTGCGTGGGTTTAGGGTTGCCTTTCAAACTTCGACGGAGCGATGCTTCGGTACCGGCTTGAAAGCTACCGGTGGACTTGTCGTGCGAATCACGCTAGGGTTCACTAATGCGAATGAATTGTGATTTCTCTTTCCTCTGCCTTGGTCTTTTTTGTGGGCAAATTCAAGTAAAGCGAAGTGGTGCAAGTTAATTTTGTTTTTGCTTGTATTCGATCAGCGACCACTGCTGGAGCGAGGGCGAAAGACAGATTTCAAGCCGTATTGTGACATATTTTTTTTTTGCTTTTCTCCAAACCCACACCCCAGGCTCCGCGCAGGTGTTGAACTCAAAGGAACCGTCACAACAAATGAGTGCACCTGAAAATCATTGCCGCTTCCACCAGGACGTGGACAAATTCTTTGATGAGCTTCGCGAACGAACACTGAGGGATCACCCTGAAAACATCTGTGAATATGTGGTGGAAGCTGCCAAGAAGGTCGCTTCGGACCTGAAGGAGAAGTCCTGTGAACGCATCCCCGATGCCGTATCACCGGCGTTGAACAGTCGGGCCCTCACCATTGTTGTTCTTGGGGCAAGTGGGGACCTGGCCAAAAAGAAGACATTTCCAGCGCTTTTTCTGTTGTACTGCAGTGGTGTGCTGCCTCAGCACGTCAATATTCTCGGCTATGCTCGTTCCAAGTTTGAAGATGTGGAGGAGTGGAAAAGGAAACTGCTTGCAAGTTGCTTTTTGCAGTCAGAGGAATATGGATGTCACGCGGATGCCTTTTTGAAGCGAATCAGTTACATGTCTGGCTCCTACGACCGCGCTGAAGACTTTGCGCGTCTGAATGAAAGGATTTGTCGGATGGAGCAGTCCTTCAAGGGATCGGAGCAGGGAGGAAACCGTCTCTTCTACCTTGCTTTGCCACCCTCCGTTTTTGTAGAGGCGTGCAAGGGTCTTCGTCAGGGGGTGATGCAAAAGCCAGGTCAGGGCTGGGTGCGTCTCATCGTTGAGAAGCCGTTTGGAAGAGACACGGAGACCTCTGAGCAGCTCTCGAAGCAGCTTGAGCCGCTTTTTGACGAAAGTCAGTTATTCCGCATTGACCACTACCTGGGGAAGGAGATGGTTCAAAATATTATTGTAACTCGTTTTGCCAACCGCGTTTTCAGCGCGCTGTGGAATAGTAACAACATTGCGTGCGTTCGAATTAACTTCAAGGAGACCATTGGAACGACGGGTCGTGGGGGGTACTTTGACAGCATTGGGATTATTCGTGATGTGGTGCAAAACCACCTCACGCAGATTCTTTCGTTGCTTGCAATGGAAAAGCCGCGCTCTCTCAGCGCCGAGGACATCCGTGATGAAAAGGTGCATGTTCTCAGACAGGTGGAACCCGTGACCCCAGAGAACTGTGTGTTGGGCCAGTACACGGCGTCTGCGGATGGCTCCATGCCTGGCTACCTTGATGACCCCACCGTGCCGAAAGAGAGCCGCTGCCCCACTTTTGCCGTGATGCGGCTGTACATCAACAATGACAGATGGCACGGTGTTCCTTTTATTATTAAGGCTGGAAAGGCCCTCGAGGAGCGGATGCTTGGCATTCGTGTTCAATTCAAAGACGAAATACGTCCCTTCGGCGAAACCACACAGCGCAACGAACTTTTTGTGCGTGCGCAGCCCTCAGAAGCGATATATTTGAGACTCACTGCAAAAACACCGGGATTGCTGCGTAATACGCATCAGACGGAGCTTGACCTTAACTACGAGCGTCGCTACGACATCAGGCTCCCTGATGCGTATGAAAGTCTTCTTCACGAAGCCCTCCTCGGGAGTTCCACGAACTTTGTTCGTAAAGACGAGCTGGACGCTGCGTGGAGAATCTACACGCCACTGCTTCACGCCATTGATTGTGGCGAGGTTAAGGTTCTGCCGTACATGGCGGGCTCTCGTGGGCCAGCCGAGGCCGAGGAGTTCGTTACCAACTCCGGATATAAGTTGGCAAAGGTCTACCAATGTAATTGTTTTACGACCACGTCGAGTTCCTTGTGAGAGCATCGAGCAGCATACGTTAAGTCGAGAGGACAAAAGAAAGCGGTCAAAGAAGGAGCTGTATACACCTGAGTACTGAAAAGGTAAAATTGATACGGTAGTCTGGATGTGTGGGGCTGGGTCCCCTTTTCCCCTTTTCTCTTATTAATTCACACATTAATTATGGTTTCTTCTTCCACCTCCACTCGGACTCACCCTGGTGGCATTAGGAAGTAGCTCCCCGTCTAGAAGTCTTTTGACTTCGCGGACGGCTGTGTGTGTGCACGCGCCGCAATCGTTTCCAGTTAGTGCAATTCTTATTTATTTATTTATTTTCCTTTTTGCATGAAGGGAAGACACGTCACTGTTTTTGTGCATTTTCTGAGGTCACTCCATGGAGAAGCAAGTCGATGTTGTTGTCAATTTATTTTTGTTGAGGCGATCGCTTTTTTTGATGCGTTTGTTTTTTCCTGTTCTGCAGGCAGAGGCTCCTCCTGGGAGCGGCAAGCAGCTGCCATGTGTGTGTGTGTGGGCCATTTGTACTTTATGTTCTTTTCTCTTTGCACCGTTTCTTTACATTTTTGTGCATGTCGTGTTCATGCGTGTGTTGGGTGCATGTAGCGTGTAACGGGAGCAGTAAACAGTCAAATGTGTTGGCGAAGGACGATGAGGCGATGTGTGAAAACCAGCAGAACCACGGCGGAAATGTTGTCTTGATGCCATTGACCATGTCACAGCGCCACGGAGACAGTGATGCAGGTGATTGGAGAGGAGGGCCCGCAAGGTGTGTCGCCGCCAGCTGGGAGCCACACGTCAGAGACCAGAGAAGTGGAGGCCTCGGGGTGTTTGCTGTTGTGTAGAGGAAACTGACGAGGCGGCGGTGGAGCGAAATATCAAAGGCGTTTGGTTGCGCCCGGGGAGGCGGTGACATATTCACGCAGCGGCACTGGGGTGCGCGTGTCTAATGCCTTTGGAGGCTGGAAGTCGAATAAAACGGAGGGCATATTCCTAACTTAATTTCACCAGCACCGTCATCGCCGCGATGCCGTTCAGTCGTTGGGAGGCAGCACTTCTTTTTGTTTTTCTAAATGTTTTCTACAAGGAAAAAAAAACCGATATAAATAATAATGTTTTTTTCCTGACCGG